GACCTCGGGGGAGGGCGGGGGGTGTAAATCAGGGCTGGTGGCAGTGGCCTTCTGTGGGGCCTGGGAGATGTCTCTCTGGCACCCATCCCTCCACCAGGAGTGCCGAAGGGCTCTGACAGCCCACTCTCTCCCTTCCCTTCTGTTTTCCAGATGAGTTTGCCACACAGGAGTACAGCACTCCCTGCGCCACAGGTAGGGTATGGAGAGCCCTTCCCTTCTTCAGAGTTCTCTCCATCATGGCTGTATTTCTTGTCTTCCAGCCAGTGCTTGTCCCTTTTGGCTCAATGGGTAGTTTAGATGAGATTGGCCCAACTCACAGGCACACATTTTGTATGCGAAACTGAGAGAACGGGAATGCACAATGTTGTTGACTCATTCAAAATCCACCATCCCTGAATTCTCAGAGTGGTTTCCATAGTTAGGTTCTCCTGGCTTGAATGAAGGTTGTGTCCTTATTCTTCTGTTACTGCCCCTTGGACTTTTTCTTTGAGTTCAAGTTTCTTATATCATTCTTCATGTCTCAGATTTGATGTCTCTTCTGGTCATTCCTGAGAACTCCAGCTAGTATAGCTGTGGGATCATGCTGAAGGGACTCTTTCAAACCACTTTGCACACTCCTCCCTGAAAGCACTCTGTCTACAGCAACAGAGCACATCAAGGCCACCAAAAGATATCCCATAAAGCATCATGTCATGGTCTCACCTACCATGATTTCATGCTATGCTCCAGAACCTCCTGCCCAAGCCTGGCATACCTTTTCACTAAAGCTGTAATGCGGCTCTACACTGAGCATGGAGCCATACCTACAGTAGGAAGTCCTCGTTACAGAAGAATCCCTCCCAACCCTTGTTATTGAAGAGGTAAAGGCTTACCTCTCTTGTACGGTGACAGAAAACTGCCTGGGTGGCACACCACCACCTGTACACACAGCCACATCACTCATCTGGGGGGGGGGCCATAGTTCTCCAATATGGCACCCTGGCCTGCTTAGCAACTGTATGTGGCAAAGCCCACAGTGGTGCTGGCACATTGCAGCATGCCTTTAAGCATGCCATGCTCCTTGGATTCCAAGAAATGGCAAGTTTGCCTTTGGTAGCTACTATCTGGAGCATCAGCTGCTTCCTGCTCAGCTACCCTGCTGCCCAAGCAGGAGGGGGTGCTCTTTCAGGAGGCAGGTATTCCTCATGACCCTAGGCAGCCAACCCTCAGTCTTGGTTTGGAGTCTGAGCTAGCAGGACAGAGAGGCTATGATCTTTGGGGGGTTCTCTGCAGTGCAAGGCCACATGTGTTTGTCTTAGGAGCACAGGTAATGTAGGAGCTTCTGTGGAAGGCCCTGACCAGCGATAGTTCTCCTGTCCTATATGAAGTCTTCCAGTGTGAAGACTGGCAGGTCTGGCTTCCCATTAGTTGCCCGGTTTCAGGTGTTTTGAATACAGAGACTTCTGGAATGCACTGAGAAACCACAGAAAGTGGCTTTTCACAGGGCCTGACTGTGGCATCCGAGAGCAGTGAAAAAGTGATTCGGACTTGGGAAAGGTGAAAGCTATGTCTCTTGCTGGTGCTAAATGGTGAAAGTTAATCTCCTTTTGTGTTCTTATCCGGTGTTGGAAAAGAGCCTGAGCTCCCACACTTTTACTCCATACTGCTTGCTAATCTGGGCTGTGTTCATAGGTACAGCTGTATTCTGCTGATTCTGGGCCTACAGCCTCCCTCGATGGAAAGAAGGTGCATAAGTCCTAAGATAGACACTGAGTGGAGAGTAAAACATTTCCAAAGGTTATGTTGGTGTGGTCTGGCTGTCTAGTGTGAGACTAGGGGGGAGGCTTTAGATTTTAGGCTACTCTCTCCCCATGTGCGCTAGAAGACAGAGATTTTATCCTCCTTGGAAAAGATGATGGGAAATTGCTAGTTAAGAGGTCCATCCACTGGTCTAGGTCTTCAAAGGTGCTCTGCACTGACTAAAAGGCAGATCTCAGTTGCAAAGCAGAAGGCTGCCTTCTCTGCCCTGAACAGTGCTGTCCACTGGTGCAGCACATTCCTTCCACTCTCTGCAGAGAAATAAATACACTTTAAGAACAGGTCTCATTGCTGCAGTGAACCTCCTTGCTGCCTGTTTGCACTGTGCTCCTGTGTCCATCCCAGCTGTGGCAAATCCCATTCTGCTTCTCCCTCCCAGTGGGTCAGAAGGAGTTTCGGCCTTCTCTCAACCTCACATGGCTTTGAAGGTGGCATGAGTGTTGAGTGCTATGGATGACCTTCAACCCTGGTCAAGCAGCAACTCGCTTTCCTGTACCATGCATCACCCACAACTTGGCTTCCCAAACCCACATGTTGCTTGCTCTGTCTCTCAGCCTGAGAGGGGGAACTAGAATATCTCTCTTCATGCCTGTATCTCCCATCTTCTTTCATCCTTGCAGAGGAAATAGACCAGGGCAATGTGTGAGGAACACTCCCAGCTGCTGGAACCCACCTGCCTCACTACCGCCACCACCATCTATGGAGAGGATGGAGTGACAGATGAATAGTGCCTGCAAGGAATGGGAAATGAACTTTACAAATAAATTAACTGTACTCACCAATGATTTTTGAACAGTTTATTCCCAATTCTGTTTCTTCCTGCTCAGCCTCCAGTCACAACATTAATCTCCCTGGCTTCTTAGGTTGAAGAGCATCCCATCCAGCCATGCCTGTGTATAGGGCAATAAGGCTGACAAGCACGGACAGAATTATTTAAGTTGGGGTCAGCCTTTCTAATGTAGCCCTCTCAGTGTTAGGTACTCTGAACTTGTCATGTGAGATCAACAGAGAAGGACAGGTACTTCTTCAGAACAGTTTCTCTCCCCTGGCTCAGAAACCATAACCTTGATTGGAGTGGTCTCTTCAGGTGCCTATCCATGTCTCCCAGTGGTAGGCAGCCTGGATGATCAGCTAACATTGCATGAAGTTCAACCTCTGTGATATGCCCCACAGACACCCCTTCTGGGACTGTTTCTTGTTTGTAGAAGAGTGGGAGATGATAGACAATCTTCCCCCTTGTAAGATTAGAGTGTGCATGGGGGGCCAGGAGGGATGTGTGCATAGATGATGCCTTCAGCTGTTCACTTATAATGAGCTGTTCTCCAGCTGCAGCTTGGGCCTTCTTGTGGAAACTTCTGTATCTTGTGCCTGCTGCTTCTTGGAGGTTCCCAAGGAGAAGCTAATGGCATTTGCCAGTAACCTACCTACCCAAGTCTAGTTTAAATGGCACATTTATTTAAATCATGGAGTTGCTTTGGTGAAACTGTCTGTAATTCTCTTAGATATCTCCAGCAATGCTCCCCTTTTCTTGGTTTTGTCCCATTAATTTCTAGTTTTAACTTTTGAATGGCAGGAAGATCTTACATGGCTGTTTATTCTTGTGAAATGCTTATTGTTTGGTATCATGGCTTACTGTGTATCCAAAGTAGGCACAGCTAGTTGTTCCATCGAAATTTTTTTAGTGTGCCTATTCAAACAGTGTTATTGAGAACAAATAAAGTTCTTCATCTATTTTGCTAGATATTAAAATTATGTCACTTTGTCTCCTGTGGTGTTTGGCATTTACTCACTCAAGAGCATTTTGACACCTCATATTCAGACAAGTCCATGGAATGAGCTGGCTTCAGTGAAAGCTGAGCAAAATTTCTAATCAAGCATGAATGCTAATTGCATTTTGTTTTGATTTAGAAATACTAAAACCATTTAATTTCCTACCATGAGGCAATTACTTTTCTGAAGCAACATAGTTTTTGGTTGCTGAATGGAAGTGTTTTGATTTTAGGCCATAGTGATTTGTCTTTGAAGCATGCAATCCTTGCTCCATGGGAATAGAAATTCAATGTTCAGACATTCCTGTACTTCCTTAAGGTGGCCTTGCTAAAGTTCCCTCC